AATGCCCCCCCTAGCGCAGAATATTGTTCAGTAATTGCCTAGGTCCACTAGAAAAATACCGTGCAAGGCACAGACAACGCTTCCCGGAGCATCACAGCAACCACAACTCTCCAACACGTGCAGCCTGTCCTTTGCCCCTAGAGTGCACTTAGCGCACACACAGCCTGGGCTCAGCACACACCCCGGGCCCTGCTCAAATTGGCACTGGCCAGAGTGAAAACAACCGGGAGCAGGAAGGGGAGAGTAAAGGAGTAAAAGCGATTTCTGCCGGGAGCGCTGACGTGGCTCAAGAGCAGCACTGGTAAAGAGACGACTGTGCACACCTCCCCGTGCCCGCAGCGAGGGGGGGGGGAGCCGGTCTGGACTGTTTGGGCTTTTCTCCTCTTCGAGGCGAGGGGGACGCGCTGACCTACGTACCGGTGAGATTCAGTTTAGGAATAGGCAGGGGCTCGGTGGGGACCGGGTGATAGGAGAACAGAGTGAACATCCCTCGGCCCAAGGGGAGCGCCATCGTCCGCTGGCACAGCTGTAGCAACCTGTGGAGGGAATCAGACAGAAAACCAAACTGAAAGGTCCCCGCGGCCATGGTCACAACACAGCACCCAGCAGATGCCAGTCCTGGCCGGCACGATGGGAGTCCCCCCCGAACAGCCTTCGGTTTCTTTATAACCCCGGCGGGGCAAAAGAGCTGTAGCTCTCGGCTTAGCCCTGTGGCCACGCCAAGAGAAATGCAAAGCTACCCAGCAGAGGCGGACAATCCCACATCTGCACAGGGGCTTTGCCACGGTTAGCGGCTACTGAAAGGTGGGTGTCCCTCCGGAGAAGTGTTCATTATTCTTACTCGTTAGTGATAATTATTCGCTATTTAAGTACTACCACATCGTGCAGCATGGCCCAGGCGCTGCACGCAAAGCGAACAAAGACTCCTTGCTCCCAAAAGCTTCCCGTTCTCAATACTGCAGCTGAAGTGATGCTGGGCGCACCCAGTGCGTATCAACCAGCGCAGCCTCACGAGGAACGTGGGGACGGAAGAAGCCAGCTTGAGAGATGGCCGCGAACAGCCCTGCTTTGACTAGTGGTAGCGCCCCGTTACCGCTCTTATGCAACGCGGGTCCTCAGAGCCGGATCTCTGTTCTACAGAAGCCAGGTCCTGACTCATTGGGAAGACGCCGCTCTCCAGGCTCGCCAGAGCACTCGGCTTTTTCAATCAGACTGTATTTCCCGATGGCCCTTTTCCTTCCTACCCCTGCTGGCTGCTCCCTCTGAGCAGCAAACAAATCGCTCCCCCAGAACAAGCTCAGCAGCCCCTACCAACCCTCAGGTGAGGAACCCGCTGAACGGGGCACAGCCAGGCCGCCAGCCCGCCGCAGGGCTCGGGTTCCGTCGGCCAGCCGGCCGGGCACAG